TTGGGGAAGCTCTTTGAGCCAACAAAACGTCTCTGGGCGGCAACGTCACCTGTGGAGCCGGTCCTAGTCAATTCGCCTTGGCCAGGCCTTCAGCAGAAGTTTCCTGATGATCCTGGTGACAGAGCTGGGCGCGGTGCTCAGCTTCCCACTTCGCCTCGAACTTGCACAACAGGCTTCACAACCTTGGCCGACACGCATGTGTCTCAGGGTGGCTGAAAAGATACGTTCAGGAATAGTAGAGCATTGCCTTTTCAGCGTGGGCGCCTGCCAGAGCAGGTCTTATTGATTCGCCGGCAAAGCTGTGGATTTCGATCATTGTCCGGGTGACATTGGGTGACGTTTTTTGATAGCCCCACTGTGAGCAGCTTTTGAAGAATCGCATATAGTCAGGGGTGCTGCCAAGCTGTGCCCTAAACTTGCGGGCGCAGTGCATGCCGATTGCGATTGAATAGGGGCTGGTCACTCTTCAGCTCAATTGCTAAGCGTTAGGAGCTTGCCTTTCTCGGGGGTGGCGCTTGCACGGCACCCCCAAAATCACATTTGTTCAAAGCACCATGTACATCAGTGACTGCCACCCCTTGGCTGTCTAAGCTTCACAGCAGCTCTTGTGTCTCGAAGAAGCGTGCCCGGTTTTGATAGTTGATTTGGTGAAAAGTGTCTTGGAAGGGGCTGCACTAACTGGGCTCACGTTTGCGTGTTGTCTGTTCTACCCGGAACGGAATCACCCAGTCTAAAGATTGCCTCAGGGACGCCTTTGGCGCAGCTGTACGGCCCGGTCAGTGCTTGTCGAAAGACAGTTTGCTGATTTTGAACCCGCATGCGGAAGTTGTCTTTCGATCATTGTTCGCTGCCTCCTTTGAGAAACTGCTTGCGGCAGCTCATCACATGCAGCTTGCTTGGGCCCAGTGCCCGTACATCACGACAAATGAGTGTAGGTGAAACATGGTTGTGCGCCGCAATTAGGGGTCGCTCACAAGCTAATTTCGGTTTGCTTCCTTTCCGATTCCATCCAAGAAGGATATTCGTGACACATCCCAACTGCGCAGCATTGGTCAACAGACCCAGAGTACCATGACCATCAGCTAAGTAGTTCAAGCCATGGTTGTATATTAATGCAACAGAACTACCGGCCCGGCATCCAATGTGGTGTCTGCCCAAATGGCACTCCCGCGTGTCCAATGTCGAGGCCTGGCTGCTTCTGAGTGGCCGTGATGGTGGTGGTGGTGGTGGTGGTGGTGGTGGTGGTGGTGGTGGTGGTGGTGGTGGTGGTGGTGGTGGTGGCAGGGAAACTTATTTGGTAGGTTTTCGGAATGCTTGTTCTGTTCTGCTTAGCCTTTCTCTAGATACTTCTCGGTTGAGTTTGAAGGCTTGTTTTTGCCTTGAGGTCGATGTGTGGGAGCCCGGGCAGATGCCGCCTGCCCCCTCGAGGCCCAGGCCAGGCCCTCAAGAGTTGGCAATGTGTGAGATTTGTTGCTTCACATCCCGTCAAACATGGACCAAATGAGGCGAGGTCTGAAACGAAAGAGAAGACACACTGTGATCAACATCAAGTAAGAGCGCACTGGCCAAGAATGTTTTGTTTGACAAGATCTGCCCCAGGAGGGTGCTGCACAAGATCTTTGCCCACGAACGATCTGGCGGCGGTGGCACAGAGGTCCGCCGGCCCATTCGGCCAGACTCAGAGGACACGAACCTAAGAGCCTGCTTGCAATCTAAATGCACTGAGCTTGAGGGTTGATCTTGTTCCGTTCCAACGAAAGCATATCTTTTCCGACTTGCTTCGACTCTTTCGAAGCATTTGCATTTTGTCAGGAGGCTCCGCTCGTGGATCCGGTGCTGGTACTGGATGCCAGGGCCCCAGAGGGCTCAGGGGGCCAGGCAGCCAATCAGCCGAAGCAACTCAGGACTTTACCGTAGCGCTTCCAGATGGCTTTCCTGACCATGCGCACCGGGGCTTCAGTACTTTGACCTACCTCCTGCCCACCTCACCTGGGAGCCTCACCCATGAGGACTTTTTAGGCATCCTGGCAGCATATGCTTGGCAGCGTTGCTGTGTCCGCTGGGAATATTTTGCAAGGGGAGGCTGAGATGGCTGCGTGCTGAAGGTTCTCACACTTGCAATTAAAGGCAAGTCATCAGCATGCATCAGCATAAGAAGCAAAGCGAAAGAACCTGCAGTCTGGAGGCAATGCTGGCACTCTGCGGCCGGGTGATGCCCAATGGATGACTTGTGGTCGCGGTGTTCTGCATTCAGAGGTGCGGCAAGTGGGTGAGGAGGATACATGCTCTCCGATGTTTTCCCAGGCATTCTTCGCTGTCTTGCCATAGGTGCCGGAGAGTCAATACTTTGCCCGCGGTCTGCAGCTGTGGATCAATCTGCCGGAAAAGGACCGAGCTTCCTTGCAAAGTCATGGAATAGCAAGCCAGAGTTGTTGTAGATCCTATTCTACAAGCCCCACATGCGTAGTTTCGGGCAATTTCTGCTTGTCATTGTTCATGTCATTCGTTCTTTGCAGGATAAAATGAGTCCACCTGAGTGACTTCGATGGCAGAAGGGTGGCTTACCTGGTGTGTTCAGCAGAGATGGGAACAAGAGCACTGCGTATCTCAGGTTCCATTGCAGATCGCTAGGATCATGGCTTTTGCATCGTTTGATCAGATGCTGAAGGTTGAACTTTGTGGCTTTGCAACTTTCAATCTGCAAGATGATGAACTCGAAGCTAACATTCCGATTCCGTCTCGTAAGTCTGATCCAAATAGCCCGCGCATCCCTCTTTGTGCATTTGTAGAGCCCCATCTGAGTCCTTCCTTGGAACTTCTGAAGCGAGCTTTCAATGCCGTTGACGTGCAACAGAGGCGTGTTTGCCACTGTTTGCCTGTCGGCGCCGATGGCACCGGGTCTTGGTGGCACGCACCAATTCACACATAAAATCGGAAATCCGGAAGTCGCGCAGCTTTGTGTTGGAGGCTCGAGCTTGTTTGGAGTTATTTGCAGCTCCCAAATCTAGGGCGAGCTCCAAATGCATGCTGGTACGGTAGCTTGATTGTTTTTTGTCTGATTCCTGGCAGAAGAGAGATGCTTGAGAGAGGTCTGCGTCGGGGCGTGGTGAGGTATCGGAGCCTCCCGCGCGCTGCTCAGCGGCGCCTTACCTGCCAGGGAGTCAGCTGCGCGCTTCTTGCTGGCGCCGCACTGGGCGCCGAGGCGCCGGGCGAGTGCTTGGCGTGGCTTGGCAGTTTTGAGCATGTCGCGGCCTCCCAAGTCGATTACTTTGATTTCGTTACACGGCTGCAAGCCGACGACTTTGATACAAGCTTTTTCTTATGACTGGGCGAAACGCGTGAAGGACGCCATCAGAAGATGTCCAGCTAGGGCGGACTCGAGAACAATCAACACATGATTCCTTGGCTTGGCTTTTGGGGGGGTGTTTGTAGACTCTCAGGGCGCATTTCACGATGACGCCTCCAACCGCGCTGCACTTGCCACTTGGTCAGTCAGGGCAAACTGGACGGAGGTTACCAGACAAGCAATTGGACTTCAGAGTGATGGGGTTTGAGGCAAATGAGAGATGGTCACACTGGCTTCGTGTACATCCTCGAAGGCGAGGGTAGCTTTGTTGGCGAGGTGGCCAGTGTGCATGACTGCCTCATCCTTTCCAACGACGAGGGGGAGGATGGCGGCTCAGCTGCACTGATGGACCTAGTTTCATGAGCCAAAGTGACAGGTTTCGTGGGTCTCAGCCTTTGAATTCTTTGGTGCATCTTTGCCGGAAAATGGCTCGCGCTTGTAAATGCACTGCCGATGTCAGAGCTGCCGATGTCAGAGCTTTTGACTGGAGGATTCTTGCGAGTTTTTCCGTATGCTGCCAAAGCCAGTATGCCTTGCAATGGGGTTTGGACGCTCTCACCACTGTTGCTGTTTGTAGACTGGGCTCCAGGTTGATTCTTGCACCTGCAAACTGTCAGCGCTCGAAGCTTGTGAGTCCAAGACATGCTGATCATTTCAGCATTTGGCATCGTTTAGACTGCGTGAATTGTTCCACAATGGTGCGGAGTGAGACCCGCATCCAGGCTAATTTGAAGGTCATGCGGCGCAAAGAACCAAAGAGCAGCCAGGAGGACAGTGCCAAAAGCCTCATGAAACTGCAGCCAAAATGCCAAACAAGTGAAAACACCAAAAGCTCCAGAAACCCAGAGAACAGCCACACTTTCAAACAGTGCATCTCAGGAACATTGAAACCTTTGATATGAGTTGGCCTGGTGCTCCCGCAAAGTTTGCCAAGAAATGGTACTCGTCGCCCCAAGGCCTCGTTGTGCACACGGAGGCATCGGAGGTGTCCTTCTTTGTCTTTGCTGGATCGCCCTTGCGCGAGCCGGTGGTTTGGCAAGGACCCTTCGTTCCTCGCAGTGAGTATTTGCCAGCGTCAGTAATACGAACAGTACGAATTGCTGTAAATCAGTAATACGAATTCCAATGCCCAGGTTATGTGCAGCAAAGAGCGCCACGCCTAGAGTGTTTGCAATGATCGCAAGGCAGCGATGCCAGAAACTGATGATTGTTCTTGGGCATTTTCTGTGTTGCCCTTATTTTAGTCACGGATGACTGAGGCAGATTCACCAATCCATGCTGGACTACCAATGTGATAAGAATGGCTTCGAGAATGCTACGAACTGGCATTCGCGAAACAAGCTGAAGATGCAAAAGAGTGCTGCGCCATGTGCTATGAAGTGCCGCAAGTGCAAGGGTGCTGCAGCCGGAGTCGCCAGCCGGACCTTGATGCTGAGGTGACAAAACCTTCTTCATTGCCGCACTGCTGGCCATGCGACATGCCCGCACCCGAGCCTGCAGAGCATACCCATCCACAGAATCCGCCAGAGGCCTTCAGGAGAGTACGGCAAGAGAAGCAAGAAAGTCGCCATAGCGGTGGCTTAAGCCCTTGCAGTAGCCTGGCTCAAGGTCCCAATTCTCAGTGCTGATTTGGAACTTCCGGATCCTTGGTACTATGTCCGCCTCAAGTGCACATGAGCGCACACATGATGAGTCCATTGCTGGTGTGGCAGCCCGCTCTCAGAATGCTGGCGAATTGGTTCCAATTCAAGATGTCCAACAAGCACGAAACTTCATTAACAAACTCTACGCCGGGGTTAGCTCCTCAAATGTCCAGCTCGCAGACGAGATTGAGGATGTTGTCGGAAGCGAGATAACTGCAGTCATGCACCTGCAGCGGTCCCTTCCAGCAAAGTTCGAAGATCTTTTGAAGGGAGCTGAACACGTCCGGGATGTGCTGGGTGCCCGTGTGGTCGAGGTCATGAATCACTCGGGCCTGACAGCAGAGAGTAATGCGTCAGTAAAGGGGGCCATTTCGGAGATGAAATCGGAGCTGTTTGAGGCAGGATGCAAGAAACTGCTGCAGCTGGTGAAAGATCACGAAAACGAGTTCACCAAGAAACAGGGAGGATATCATCAATGCATGCGTCATCAAGAGCAAAGGCTGCGTTCGCAGTTTGGCTTGGCCAAGTGGTTGAAATATATCTACTCACCCTTCACTTCTGTGTTCAACGGCGGCTTCCAAGACTTCTTCTTGGGTGCCAGCGCTGTTGTGAGCGCTGCAACGGCCCTGGCAGGTGTCAAAATGTCCCGTGCTTTTTGTGCTTCATCCATGATCGGTGCAGCAACCTGTGTGCCATTCACAGCTCTGTTCCTCAAGATCCAGAACTTTGAGTTCCGCACAGATTTCGAGAAGATTCAAGAGGAAATTGAGGAACAGCTTGTGCAGGTCCGGAAAATCAAACATATGGGCAACCACATGGCCAGCTTCCTCAAGAGCCTCAAGGAGGATGTTCAGACCATCCAGGCACACGAGAGAAAGTTCGACCAGCTGATCCAGCAGCTGCCGTGGTTCCTGTCGCAAAACTTGGATGTGCGCACCTGGAATGCCGAGCTCCTCAGCGCTGCTTTGCAGAAGTGGGACTTGCCGCAATGTGCCAAAATGTTCCTGAAGAAGCAGATCTCCGGACAAGCCTTCATGGAGGTGATGCAGGAGAACGACTTCAAGGATCTGGGCATCGAAGATCAGCTCACGTTGCGCCGCCTGAAGCAACTGCAGGAGCACATGAAGTCCAACCCCAAGGAGCTTTGCCGCAAGGACGCCATGATTCTTTCTGAAAGCCTCAGCCAGGCCTTGAATGAAGTTGTGGCTTGTATTGCGAGCATGAAGACAAAGCACGAGCACAACTTCGCACCTTGAGACAGATGCAGATGTGGTCAGCAGTCCTTTGCAGATGGCAGTCAGACTGCGTTTAATAGAATTTGTGCATGCCGTTGCCATCTTGGCGATGGAATGCAATACCTCCCCTGGTATAGATCCACGTTGGGGTGGAGTGGCTTGAGTCAAGCCAGGACAAGTTCTAGCGTGTCTGCACCGGATTCGCCTGAGCTTGAAGCCAGACAAAGAAAGCATGCTTTGCGAGCACAAACACACACACACACACACACACACACACACACACACACACACACACACACACACACACACACACACACACACACACACACACACACACACACACACACACACACACACACACACACACACACACACACACACACACACACACACACACACACACACACACACACACACACACACACACACACACACACACACACACACACACACACACACACACACACACACACACACACACACACACACACACACACACACACACACACACACACACACACACACACACACACACACACACACACACACACACACACACACACACACACACACACACACACACACACACACACACACACACACACACACACACACACACACACACACACACACACACACACACACACACACACACACACACACACACACACACACACACACACACACACACACACACACACACACACACACACACACACACACACACACACACACACACACACACACACACACACACACACACACACACACACACACACACACACACACACACACACACACACACACACACACACACACACACACACACACACACACACACACACACACACACACACACACACACACACACACACACATACACATATACACATATACACATATACACATATACACATATACACATATACACATATACACATATACACATATACACATATACACATATACACATATACACATATACACATATACACATATACACATATACACATATACACATATACATATACATATACATATGCATAAATGAGCCCTCATATATATATATATATATATACAGATACACATATGTGTATGTTCTAGTTTGCAGGTGATTCCGTTTCACGTGCATCCAAGTCGGTGGCTTTCAGCGCCAGGACCGCCTCGCAGTTTTCTTCGGGGCAGCTGGAGCGCTTGCAGCCATGACGGTGCCGGAGGGTTGCGAAGGGCGCTGCACTTTGGAGGTGATCAGGTTTGAACTTCTGAATGGATCAGGGATCAACGCTTCAACCTGGACTCCTGGAAGATCGGACCTTCAAAATCCCTTGGGTACAGCCAAGAATGTGAGGCTTAATTTGGCAAGCTTCTGTTCGAACCCTTTTTGTGTGCACTTGTCTGTCGCAAGGAGAGGCTAGTGCTCGGGATGTTCAGGAGTTACCTGCGCAGACTCTTGCTCAAGTGAGGATGCCCCTGGTGTCTGCCGTACGGGGTTTTGGCAGCCTGAAACTCACCCCAAGCAATGCTGCTTTTGGCTGAAAATCTGCGAACTGATCCCAGACCTATACAAAAAAGAGCAGCCCGAGCCAACTTGGAGGCACTGAGTGCCACCATTGGCCTGGTGCTGCCAAAGCTGATGCCGCGGGAGTGCGCAAGGGGAGACACGCGAGAGAGCGCGATTCTGTTGACGCCTTCAGATCTGTCAGGATAGACGCGCCAAGAATGCGAGGTACACACACTGGGCTGCTGTTGGGCTTTTTGTGTACTTCGGCATCAAACTTCTCCTGGAGGACAGCTTTTGGCACTCATCCTCAATTGCCTTCTTGAGCACAACTGGCAATGTTTCACGTGTGAAGCCTTCGTCATGTCCTCGCCTGGAGGCTTTCCAGATGCTCCGAAGTGGTGGTGGGGTCGGGTGCCCGCCTTACACTCCACTTGCCGCTGCAAAACTGGTGGACAGGCAAGCAAGCAAAAAGTTTCATTTGGACTCTAATTTAGACTGTTACATGCGGGACTGGAGTTTGAGGAAGCTCAACATGCCTCATGTTGTGGTTGCTCCAGCTCCAGCTTGAAGATGGCTGAAATAGAATGCTTCAGCCGTAAGCAAAAGGACAGGGAGATGCACAAGAATGCATCACGCACATTGGCAGTTCCCATCAACTCACACTGGCTATTTGCTACGGCAGTGGCATGCTTTGAGCTTGCCCCTCACGGGTACCTGATGTGGACCTCATGCCTTGTGGTGCAGGCGGGTACGTAGCCATTGCTTGGAATGTTGTGCTTGCAGACTTGACCTAAACAATCGGCCAGGCTCACCATGGACGCTGGCCAGTTGGAGACCCTTGGCTGACATTGATGCGTTGATGACAAGGCTGCCCTCAGATGTGTTGGTGCGGTAGGGATTTGTTTTTCTTTTTCGAAGGCAAACATGACTTCTCTTTTTTGTTTCCGGCTGTCCACCTTGCAACCACCCTAGAACCACACCAAAGCCCACACTAAACACAACCTGAATCAATGCCGAGCCAACCCTAAAACAGCCTTGAGCCAATCCGAGCACCTTTTGCAGTTCTGATGAAAACGATAAGTTTGGTGGTTGTGGCAGTGTGACGTTTGGATCAGTAGTTAAGGTGGTGGCAATAGTATTGGTTGCAGCAGCGGCAGCGACAGCAGCAGCGACAGCAGCAGCAGCAGCAGCAGCAGCAGCAGCAGCAGCAGCAGCAGCAGCAGCAGCAGCAGCAGCAGCAGCAGCAGCAGCAGCAGCAGCAGCAGCAGCAGCAGCAGCAGCAGCAGCAGCAGCAGCAGCAGCAGCAGCAGCAGCAGCAGCAGCAGCAGCAAGTGCAGCAGCAAGTGCAGCAGCAAGTGCAGCAGCAAGTGCAGCAGCAAGTGCAGCAGCAAGTGCAGCAGCAAGTGCAGCAGCAGCAGCAGCAGCAGCAGCAAGTGCAGCAGCAAGTGCAGCAGCAAGTGCAGCAGCAAGTGCAGCAGCAAGTGCAGCAGCAAGTGCGGCAGCAAGTGCAGCAGCAAGTGCTGCAGCAAGTGCTGCTGCAAGTGCAGCAGCAGCAAGTGCAGCAGCAGCAAGTGCAGCAGCAGCAGCAGCAGCAGCAGCAGCAGCAGCAGCAGCAGCAGCAGCAGCAGCAAGTGCAGCAGCAAGTGCAGCAGCAAGTGCAGCAGCAAGGGCAGCAGCAGCAAGGGCAGCAGCAGCAAGTGCAGCAGCAGCAAGTGCAGCAGCAGCAAGTGCAGCAGCAGCAGCAGCAGCAGCAGCAGCAGCAGCAGCAGCAGCAGCAGCAGCAGCAGCAGCAGCAGCAGCAGCAGCAGCAGCAGCAGCAGCAGCAGCAGCAGCAGCAGCAGCAGCAGCAGCAGCAGCAGCAGCAGCAGCAGCAGCAGCAGCAGCAGCAGCAGCAGCAGCAGCAGCAGCAGCAGCAGCAGCAGCAGCAGCAGCAGCAGCAGCAGCAGCAGCAGCAGCAGCAGCAGCAGCAGCAGCAGCAGCAGCAGCAGCAGCAGCAGCAGCAGCAGCAGCAGCAGCAGCAGCAGCAGCAGCAGCAGCAGCAGCCAGTAGCAGCCAGTAGCAGCCAGTAGCAGCCAGTAGCAGCCAGTAGCAGCCAGTAGCAGTAGCAGCAGTCGGAGTAGGAGTAGGAATAGTAGCAGTAGCAACAGTAGTAGCAGTAGCAGCAGCAGTAGCATCAGTAGCAGTAGCAGTAGCAGGAGCAGGAGCAGTAGTTGTAGCTGTAGGAGTAGTGGGAGTAGTAGGAGTAGTAGGAGTAGTAGGAGTAGTCGTAGTCGGAGTAGTAAGAGTAGTAGGAGTAGTAGGAGTAGTAGGAGTAGTAGGAGTAGTAGGAGTCGGAGTAGTAGGAGTAGTAGGAGTCGGAGTAGTAGGAGTAGTAGTAGTAGTAGGAGTAGTAGGAGTAGTAGGAGTAGTAGGAGTAGTAGGAGTAGTAGGAGTCGGAGTAGTAGGAGTAGTAGTAGTAGTAGCAGTAGTAGTAGTAGTAGTAGTAGTAGTAGTAGTAGCAGACGTAGTAGTAGCAGTACTAGAAGTAGTAGTGGTAGTAGTAGTAGTAGCAGCACTACTAGTAGTAGTTGTAGTAGTAGTAGTAGTAGTAGTAGTAGTAGTAGTGGTGCTAGTAGTAGTAGTAGTAGTAGTAGTAGTAGTAGTAGTAGTAGTAGTAGTAGTAGTAGTAGTAGTAGTAGTAGTAGTAGTAGTAGTAGTAGAAGTAGAAGTAGTAGTAGTAGTAGTAGTAGTAGTAGTAGTAGTAGTAGTAGTAGTAGTAGTAGTAGTAGGTTGCAGCAAAAACAAATAGCAATAGCAGTAGGAATAGCGGTAGCAATAGCAACAGCACTTGCAGTAGCTGGAGCAAGCACGCTCCAAACCAATCACAGTTTACACCTTTTCGAAGCACACCCTAAATCAATCCTTAAGACGTCCCCAGCCAACCCTCAACCCACCCGCATCCAAATCCTAATCCCAGCCTATACCCAAATCCAAACTCAAGCCAACTATGAGTCAACTCTCATCCGACCGAAGCCCAACCAAAAGGCCAAACCCAAACCAACCCCAAATTCCAATTCACTTTGAATCAATCCTAAGCACACCTTTGACCAATCCAAAGCACACACTAAACGAATGCCTCGACCCATTCTAGTCCTGGACCAACTTTTAACCGTCCCTGGCTTGGTGTGCTGAAGGATAGGCTCGGTTGGGTTTGGACCTAGGTGGGTTTAGGGTTGAGGTTTGTGGAGGTAGGTTTCAGCTTATTTTACTGTGTGCTAAGGCCTGGATTGGGGTTGTTCAGGGTCTGCTTAGGGCGGTTTCGGGCTGGTTTAGTTTCGGTAAGCGGACAAAAGCGCACCAAGTTACAGCATGGGCCTCCAGGAGAAAAGAAAGCTGAACAAGAAATCAGAACGCTTTCAATGGCTCCGGTAGGGCAACGCTCAGTGCCACGCTGGCCGTGGTCGAGGCGCAGCGGCAACAGCTGGCTTCTGCCCAGGAGGCGAGAGGAACATCCAATTTCCGAAAGAGCTGAATCGCGCGCGCGTGCACACAAGCTGAATCGCGAGCTCTTGCTTGCTTTGGCTCGTATCACCGATTGTTGGAAAAACTTGGCAGGGTGCGTGACACCTGGAGGAGCTTGCCGGTGTGCGGCTGCAGCTGGAGGCGGAGACTCGCGCCCGAGAGGCTGCAGAGGCGGCCGGTGTGCGTTGCAGAAGCATGCACTGCTTGCGCCGGTCGCTTTTTGGCGGTTCACAAGTGAGCGCCAATCAAGCTAGTGCACATCGGGATCCACCCAAGTTGAGGTTGACACGGCATCTCAATCACTGCACAGGAAAGACTCCGGGAAGCCTCGGTGGATTTCGCGCGCAAGCTGGCAGCTATGCAGGTGCCACTTTGTGAAATATTTTCTTTACCCCTTCAAGCTTCGCAGAACCACGCATTTCAAAGATGGGACATGTGTCATGTGAAACCAGGGAGCACAGGGTGACCTTGACAGGCGCGCGTGCTCGAAGCTGAGCGCGACGTGGTGCTGGGCAGCCAGGTCCAAGCCGGGAGGGCAAGAAAGCCAACGCCCCAAGACTCATCGGAACAAAACAAGAACCAAGAGAGGCTCTCAAAGCAAGGCCGACCAATAAGGGCATTTGGAATTGGATGAAGCTGTGCGCTCTTTATGGTTTTGGGGTGTCTTGGGCTGAGCGCCAGGTGCTGGTGGCACGCAGCGCACCCTCCAGCGGGGGCTGGGGACAAAGTAAATGTGCTTGTTGCTGTCGTTGAGTGGCAATGCAACCAAGCACCGGTTCCTTTTGAGAAGCCGAACGTTTTCTCAGCTGACGGGTACAGTCTGGCATACAATGCAATCCAATCCTCTTAAAGTCGTTGCCCAGGGACTATGGCCATCTCCTCTCCGGAAGGCAAGCCAACGCATTGCAGCATCCGGATTCATTGCAAGACCAGCTGTTTTGCAGGACTGTCGCGTGCCAGCGACACGCCTCGCCGCTTGGCGCCTGTCCCGCCACCGCTCGGTTGCCTAGTGAGCAATCCTGTACCTTCCCAGACATGGCTCGTGCGAGTTGGTGCCGACCCAGGCCGCGGGCAGACGAGGCAGCCTTTAGCCGCTGTCGTGTGCGTGCAGGCCCAGGTGTGGATGCCTCGCCCAGTCGCATGGCCGTTCAAGCTTGTCAGGTGGTGGAGCAAGTGGGCGCCGCACGCGCTCGGTGCAGCCAGCCAAGTTCATCCAATAGTTTCTGTTGCCTACGGGTCAGTTTCTGTTTTTGCCGGGATGAAACAGAGACAGCTGGGCATGGGTGACTGCCTTCAATCCTTTGCGGTCAGTTTCAGCAGCACTTCCGGTATGCAGTATACACTGCAACCAATGTGAACCTATATTGTGCGCGGAGGGCAGATCCAAGTAGTCAAGGAAAAAGACATTCATGGAACCCTGATGAAACAAAGATGCAAAGTTTGGCAGGGAAAGGCAGCAAGCTGCTGGCCCACAGGATTGACTGCCAACAAAGGGCTCTGGTTTCGCCTGTTTCATGACTTGCAAAGCTGGTGCACATAGTACTGGTGGCGCAGGCATTCTCTATTTACTAATGCCATCAAGCCGATTGTGTGAGCAGCCGAGCAGCAGTTGTAAGAGTAATTGTAATGACTGTAACCCAATTTCGAAGAACAACGCTTGGTGTGCGCTCTTGGGGATTTGAGTCTGCCAGGCGCAACATCGCCTGGAGCCGCTGGAAAGTCCAGAGGGGCTGAGCTGAGGATCTTTCCCAAAGGGAAGGGGCCGGCGGTACGTGGCCTTTTTTTGGCGAGCGAGACAAGCAGGACGCCACGCAAGTCAATGCTCTGCGGATTGAAAAGCAGCAAACACCATGCCACCATTGCACACAGTGGGCCCAAAGATTGTAGTGGGGCTGCATGTTTTTTGAGGGAAGTGGCGGTCCTTCCCATTTATTTGTGTCGTCCCTTCCTACAGATCCATTATTCTGTCTCTTGCGAAGTCTAGAGGTTTCTTGAGTCTTGGCATGGATGAGAGAAGTGACCAAATGGACAGCGTAATGTCAGGATGTTCTCGCATCATCGATGCCAGCATAATGTTTTATTGTTTGCTTTCTCCCTGAGAATTCCTCTACCTTCATGAGATGGCCATTGAAGAAGCACGTGAAGCATTTCAATCCAAAAATCTGAAGTCTATATGTCTCTCATGTGTAATGTTTCAATGTTTTTCTGATTTGTTGTTTTCTTTTGTTTTTGTCTTCAGATCTATATTATATCATGTTCATCCCGATGCGTTACGAGGATCTCAACTTTTTCAGTCGCTCTATTGCTGATATCTTATTTGCTGGGTCTTGGATGTAGTGGTCCACCTTTAATCTGTTTGTCATTATCTTTCTACATCTTGAAAATCCAAGATTTCTAATTATCTAGTTACATCACATCGTGTTTACATCGCTAGTATCTTAATTATATCTTATTTATTTTAACGCCTCCGGCTCAGGCCGCCGACATTACAGGCCTGCTTTCTTATTTGCGTCCCTTTGGAATTGTCCCCTTGCCCCCCTTCCCCTCTAAGATTTTTGCCCCCCTTTCCCTGTTGAGATCCATTCCCCCTTTCTCCCCTAAGGCCCTTTCTCCCTCTGAGATTTTTCCCTTTTCCTCCCTAAGATGTTTTCCCCCCTCTCCCTGTTGAGATCTTTTCCCCCCTTTCCCCCCTAAGGCCTTTTCCCCCCTGAGATCTTCTCCCTTTTCCTCCCTTTTCCCCCCTTTCCCCCCTAAGGCCTTTTCCATCTTCTCCCTTTTCCTCCCTTTCCCCCACTTTCCCCCCTAAAGCCTTTTCCCCCCCGAGATCTGTTTTTTTTGCTCCCTGAGATCTTTCCGCCCCTTTCCCTGTTGAGATCCTTTCCCCCCTTTCCCCCCTAAGGCCTTTCCCCCCGCTGAGATCTTCTCCCTATTCCTCCCTAAGATCCTTTGCCCCCTTTCCCTGTTGAGATCCTTTCCCCCCTTCCCCCTAAGGCCTGTCCAGATCTTCTCCCTTTTCCTTCCTAAGATTGTTTCCCCCCTTTCCCTGTTGAGATCCTTCCCACCCTTTCCCCCCTAAGGACTTTCTCCCCCTGAGAGCTTCTCCCCCCCCCTTTCCCTGTTAGCCTTTTTTCCCCCAGATCTCCTTTCCTCCCTAAGATCTTTTCCACCCCTTCCGTGTTGAGATCATTTCTCCCCTTTGCCCCCTAAGGCCTTTGCCCCCAGATCTTCTCCCTTTCCTCCCTAAGATCTTTCCCCCCCTTTCCCTGCTGAGATCCTTTCCCCCTTTCCCCCCTAGGGCCTTTGCCCCCAGATCTTCTCCCTTTCCTCCCTAAGATCTTTCCCCCCCTTTCCCTGTTGAGATCCTTTCCCCCCTTTCCCCCCTAAGGCCTTTTCCCCCCCTGAGATCTTCTCCCTTTTCCTCCCTAACATCTTTTAAGGCCTTTTCCTCCCTAAGATCTTTTTCCACCTTTCCATGTTGAGATCCTTTCCCCCCTTTCCCCCCTAAGGCCTTTTTTCCACCCGCAACCTTCCCCCTTTTCCCCCTCAAGATCTTCTCCCTTTTCCTCCCTAAGATGTTTTCCCCCCTTTCCCTGTTGAGATCCTTTCCCCCCTTTCCCCCCTAAGGCCTTTCCCCCCCTGAGATCTTCTCCGTTTTCCTCCCTAAGATCTTTTCCCACCTTTCTTATTGAGATCCTTTCCCCCCTGTCCCCCCTAAGGCCTTTTCCCACCCTGAGTTCTTCTCCCTTTCCTCCCTAAGATCTTTTCCCCCCTTTCCCTGTTGAGATCCTTCCCACCCTTTCCCCCCTAAGGCCTTTCCCCCCCTGAGATCTTCTCCCTTTTCCTTCCTAAGATCTTTTCCACCCTTTCCTTGTTGAGATCCTTCCCCCCCCTTTCCCCCCTAAGGCCTTTTCCCCCCAAGATCTTCCCCTTTCCTCCCTGAGATGGTTTCCCCCCTTTCCCTGTTGAGATCCTTTCCCCCCTTTCCCCCCTAAAACCTTCCCCCCCTGAGATCTTAAGGCCTTTTCAACCCCTGAGATCTTCTCGCTTGTCCTCCCTAAGATCTTCTCCCACCTTTCCCTGTTCAGATCCTTTCCCCCCTTTCCCCCCTAAGGCCTTTCCCCCTCCCTTGACCTCCCTAAGATCCTTCCCCTCTTTTCCGGTTGAGATCCTTTCTCTCTACGGCCTTTTCCTCCCAGATCTTCTCCCTTTCCTCCCTAAGATCTTTCCCCCCCTTTCCTCCCTAAGATCTTTCCCACCCTTTCCCTGTTGAGATCCTTTCCCCCCTTTTACTCCCTAAGGCCTTTCCCCCCCGCTCCCTTTTCCTCCCTAAGATCCTTCCCCTCTTTTCCGGTTGAGATCCTTTCCCCCCTTTCCTCCCTAAGTCCTTTTCTCCCAGATCTTCTCCCTTTCCTCCCTAAGATCTTTCCCCCCCCTTTCCTCCCCAAGATCTTTCCCACCCTTTCCCTGTTGAGATCCTTTCCCCCTTTCCCTCCTAAGGCCTTTCCCCCCCTGAGAGCTTCTCCCTTTTCCTTCCTAAGATCTTTTCCCCCCTTTCCCTGTTGGCTTTTTTTCCTCACATCTTCTTCCTTTCCTCCCTAAGATTTTTTCCACCCCTTTCCTTGTTGAGATCATTTCTCCCCTTTTCCCCCTAAGGCCTTTTTTCCACAGATCTTCTGCCTTTTCTCCCTAAGATCTTTCCCCCCCAGTTCCCTGTTGAGATCCTTCCCCCCTTTTCCTTCTAAGGCCCTTCCCCCCCCTGAGATCTTTTCCCTTTTCCTCGCTAAGATCTTTCGCCCCCTTTCCCGTTGACATCCTTTCCCCTCTTTCCCCCCTGGGCCTTCCCCCCCCCCCCGATCTTCTCCCCAGTTCCCCCCCGAAAACATTTTTCCCCCCTTCTTCGAAGATCTTCATTTCCCTTCACTTTCCTTCACTTGGTTCATGTCCCTTTATGTCTGTTTTTGTTCCCATGTATTTCCATGCATTTTCCTTCATTTCCACACCCAGGCCCGCTACCAAGGGTCAGCTTCCACACCGGCGCAACTCAACAAATCGAACGCAGCGAAAGCAAAGCGGCGAGAGGGCGCGCGCGCAGCGCGAGCGACGAAGTAGGTGACGAACTGCAAAAATCGGCGAGCAGCAAACAAGACAAATTGGCAGGCGGCAAGCAATATGTTGCGACATTCCTGCACCAGCATGGGCAACATCCCCAGCATTACCTGCATCATCTGCATCCGTGGCAGGCGCTGATGCGGATGATGCAGGTGATGCTGGGGATGCTGCCCAGGAGGTGCTAAGGATGCAAAAGCGGACCCGGAGGGAATCGAACAACCCAACAACTGTGTTCCGCGCAGCCCCCAAAAGAAAGGATTTAGTGGAACGTCTTGGAATCACCGCGTGGTACGTGGACTCCCCCCCGCCGCAATAGGGTAAGGGGGTAAGGCGCCGCTGTGTGGAATGTAATTTCCCTTGGCATTGCTCACCTCCCTTCGGCTGCGGGAGCTTCGAGCACTTCGACCCAAGGCCCAGTGAGGAGCTTGAAGAGGTGGAGCAGAGCCTCAAGGCGGGGAGTCCATAAATTGCTCGAGGCATTCCATTAGTTCTCAAGGCATAAAAGACCACTGGGTGAAGCTTTTGATGGGATGCAGAAAAGCGCAAGTCTGGGCAGATGTGACCATCTTGATTCCTCCGTACCTGTGCCTTATGGCAGTGGAATCCCTGGGCAACTGGAGGACAGCAGCGCCAAGGAGAAGAAGAGCTGGGCCATCGCCATCCAGGCGTCGGGATCCCGTTCGTTTTGTGTTGACCTGCACCATAGATCTTTGTGGAATGATTTTTGCAATTCGAAGGAGGCAACCATGGCTAGTCAACGTTGGTGTTCGCATGGCGACATCCGGAACGACGTCTGACATGACACAGGGAGAAAAGCACCCACGACACCTAGGTTGGTTTTGCGTGCTTGTTCACAATCTGTTGTTGGGCAGGCTGTGCTTCGAGCAAGAATGATTTGGTGGTTGGTGAAAATATTGGGAAATATGCCGAGCTCAGAACGGCATCCGAAACGACGACAGAACGCATGTGTCGCAAAAGAATGGTGTATCGTAGCGCACGACCCTCTCAAGGTTTCATTCGGAACGCAAGCAGGTGTTCAACCCATTGTTGCAGAGATGGTGCCAACAGTCGCTTGTGTGGTAACCCCGATTTGGTTGTGGTTGCATTTGCTACTTGCAAGTGGGCAGTTCACATGGAATGTCCGGGCTCAAGTTACAGGTATATATATATATATGTATGTACATATACATATTGCTTCCGTCTGGCTGGCGTAGTTAGCGGAAGCTCGGGCTGTCCACAGCCAGGCTTTGACGCTGACCTTCCTAGCTGAATGGGGAGACCGGTCCCAAATCTCGACCATTGCACTGGCAGCGGCCAAGGCGAGAATCGCAAGTGTTGCTCGCCGATGAGGGAGCTTAGAGCTTTGTGCCACAAGCCGCGAAAAGCCCCGGAGCCCTTCAAACTGCCCAAACGTGTTTAGCATTGGTTTTGTTGGTCGACAATCATATCTCTGATTCAGCTGGTGTTTGCGCATTTCTCCTGAGCATTCTATTGCTCAGGACCCTTTGGGTGTGACACTGGGTGGCATCATTGGCCATTCATGTTGCACCACACTGGCGGTCGCCAGCTCAGCGTTGCAAGCTCAAGGTGTGGCAGTTAGTTGCATGGCTCTTGTGGGAAGAGGCCCAAACTCCGCCAGGGTCGTTCCTTGTGAACGCTAGAGTTTTTGATGCGCAATGGCAACGTCAAACAAAATGGCTACAAGAGAGAGAGAGAGAGAGAGAGAGAGAGAGGGAGAAAAAAAAAGATAGAGAGAGAGAGTGATGGCGAGTTGGCCGACAGCACCTGCCATGTTATTTCAATCTGTCCTTTGGTCTGCGGATCAGGTGCTGGGCGGCCGGGTGCTGGCCGAGCACATCTCAGAGCGCATGGTGGTTACGGCTGGCGGGGCAGGGGCCTAAATGTGAGAAAGTGCACAGATGATAGAACTCCATGCAAATTCGGCTGTTGGCTGTTGAGTGCTGCCTTACAACCACACCCTTTACGGGCTTGCGCACAATCTCGACATGACTCATGAAGGGTAACTCATGTATTGTAAGGCACACTATGTACATTATCCGTAGCTTTCGGGACAGACACCTTTATTGTGTTTTATACCTTCAAACATCAATATATTGTTGATAAAGGTGCGCGTGAAAAGACAGTATGCGAGTAGTGCTCCGATATAGCACATTATGTTGTCGTCAATTGATTCAAGAGAGACATGCTGTACAGTCAGGAAAGCATGCAGTACAGCAAAGAGAGGCACTCACCGCACTTTTCATCGTCATTTTCCCACATTGGAAACTGGGTATTGATCACCAACTAGCTGCGATTGTTGCTGCATTGTCTCACGCAGAATCAGCGTTGACTTGGATGGAATCTGACGGCCCGCCTTGCTGTTCCACTGGTTTGTCGCCAGCTTGAGCCGAGGTGCTTTTCCTTTGCTTTGCGGTGCATGGTGCCATCATGGGCGCAGACTGAGATCGCATCATTTTTGTGAACCTGCGTGGACTTAGCTCGCCCGGAGGGCGTGAGGGCCGCTCCCTCGCAGTTTGGTCTGAGCCTGCCTCGCTTTCAGGGCGCGCGCTGCTACGTGGCCGGCAGGCTTGCAGAGCAGTGCTTCGAGAGGAGTTGCTGCGCGCACGCCAAAAGCCACCCCCAAAGTGATGTTCAACACTTCTACCGGTGTGTGCGCACCTCCTCTGAGGCTGAAGTGGCAAACACGCGCCCTCGTTTTTGTTTCACGGACCTGGCGGGGTGTAGGTCTCAGACATGCAGATTGATTCTCCTGAACTCACTATCTTGCTGAGCTAAGCAGTGACAGCACATCCTGCGCCATCCTGTTCCCTGCTTTTCAACTCCGATGCAGCCGGCGATCAGCACCAGAGCTTTGGCACAGCCTTAGCCCTTTCTTGAGAACATGGAAGCGCTTCGCATTCGGTGTTTTGGTACTTCGACATGCTGACTTTCAGTGTTTCGGTTGTTTGACTCTATCGGCACAGCGCCACAGGAAGGGAGTCAGCAAAGTCTATCCTGACAAGCCGATTTGCCAGCCTGCTTGCAGCGGATGTACTGATGGTTTGCCTGCATTCGCAGGTGTTAAAGACCATCGCATTGTGCAGCAGGCTTCTGGCAGCGACCAGAAAAGGCTTTGCAAGCTTTGTAGTGTCCCTTGCTGCGAGTGCTGCTAGCCTCACAACAGGCTTCCCAATATGTCCCCTTCCACCAAAACCGTAACTCAACTCAAAGGAAACTCAAGAGAGGGATGTTTATATCCCCAGCATCATAGCTTGAGCCCGTGGTCAACTCACACTGAGGATGACTTGGTCAATTCTGCACAGGCATGGGCAATCCTTTGGACTGTAAGAGCCTGGCTGAGCTTGGAATCCCATCGCCGATGCTGGCTCCAGACAAAGCGTTGTGCCCGATGTCACCCGCAGAGGCAGCTTTTGCCTTGTTCTAGATGGTGTAGCATTGTCTTGGCACTTTCTCATCGTCAACATGCCTCAAGGAGTTAAGTCGGCCACATCTGCACTAACATGCTTGATTGGGAGGCAAAGCAAATGCACCCGTGTCACTTGATGTTGTCCTTTCTCTTTGTGGTTTCCTGCAAGCTTGTAGGATGCATGCATCCTGCTAGCCACAACTGGACTCTCTCCGAAAGCCGCCCCAAGTGAAGATTT